CTGTCGCCTGTGCCCAGTCCGGGCAGCTCAGCACGCAGGACCCGGCAACTTTCCCTGCAACCCCACTCGCAGCGTGGGGCTTAGAGCCCCTCCGCCCCTCCTGCTCGAGCTTCCCAGCCCATCTCTCCCGGTCTTGTCTGCACCACCCGGCAAGGAAACACTGCTATTTTGCGGCTCCGGATCTGGTCCCGTTTGAATATATTATTTATTTTCTCTGACTAAAAGGCATAAAGTCAGAGTGATTTGCACTAATTTTTCTTTTTAAGCACGAGTCTTTATACTGCTTTTAAACATTGCAGTCTGACCAGTAATCACCTACATGAAGTTATAGGCTTCGAGCACAAGGTTTATTCATGACTCCCTCAAAATCCTGCTACCACTGGGTCTTCAATGAGCTGGAGCTAACGGTTTACCGGGAATACTTTGGAAGGCTGAAAGTATCAGTAGCTTTCCCTCTCCCCTCTAGATTCTGGATTTATTTCCCACATGACTTCCCTTCTTACTGCGGTATCTAACAGTAATAACACTGGCTATTTGATCTCAGAAGACTCTTAAATGCATCTTTTATGTGGAGATGGTCTGTTTGGGATTTAGGCCTCACATTAATAATGGATAGCAGTTGTTTTAGTTATTGTAAAAGTCCCCCCCCCTCCCGACACACACACTTCCAAAGTTACTATTTTAGTAACTTGTGGAAGTATGGAATGAAACTTCTCCAACCACTTCTGGCAAGGTTCACAATTGCATATGGATAAGATGCAAAGTGTAAGATAATTTGAATGAATTATAGTCTGCAGTGAAAGTGCTGAGATTCTCGAAGGCTGAAATTCCAATTGGCAAAAGTTTGCAACACATAGAACTTGTAGATAATACCAGCATGCTGCAATAGCAAGAAAGAAAGACCCTTATGGACACAACGGTATCTTCTTGTGTGAGATTTGCAAAGATAAAGTTCTGGTCTGGGCTGTGCATTTCAGAAGCATACCTGTGTATCCTTGCAGGCCCCAGACATAGGCAGGTATTTAACAGAATTGGCTTCTCTGGAGTTATTATCACGTTAAGAAAGTTTTTTTTTTTTTCTTCCCCTTTTCCCCTCCTACACACTTGGCAGCACTGATTGATGTATTCACTAGGCCTCCACACCACTAAGAGAAACGCTTATTTGGTGTAGCAGTTTGTGAAGAAAATGTACAATAAACAGGGAATAAAGGCTCATTTGTTTTATGAGAGGGTCTTTAAAAGTTGATTTACAATTTATTTAACTTTCTGGAATATTTATAACACGTTAGAGCCAGTTTCAGAAAGAAAAAACTTAGGTCGTTTATTGCTCATTTAAAAAAAAAATCCAGTAAGCATGGTGATAAATGTACTCTAACTGTAAGAGTAAACTCAATTTGCTGTGTGCACTTTCAAGGGGCTTTACCTTGAGAATGCCAGGCCTCTTCTTTTGATTGAGGATGGGCATGTCATAATCAACTCATGTACCTGCCTAAATCCTGACAGTTCAGCAGAAATTTATGAGTGAAGCTTTTTTTTTGGGGGGGAAAAAAAAGTAGTTTCCAGCACTCCCACTATTCTGTGGCTCTTAAACTTGGCCTGCTTTCAAACAGATCCACATTTTAGATGCCGATGCAAAGCAACACGGCTTGGGAGCAGGTCCACAGGTTTATTTTTATTGGTGGGCTGTGACATTCTCATCCTGTATGTACGTAAAATATTACTTGTTTTCTCTTGAATATTTTTGAAATATTACAGAGTTTATGGTGTTTTGTTCAGCAGCATGACTTATGAGAACCTCCCCCCCCCCCCCAGCCCCC